TCCAAGTCTTTTGCCAATGTTCTGGAAGATGGGTTGCTTTCTTACTGAGTATTACTATATGTCTGGATATGCATGCATGGTCAGATGTGATGTGTTTTGCAAATGTAGTTTCCCATTTTATTTTATTTCCATAAAAATACCTTTTAGAGAGCAGGTAAGTCTAATAGTTCAATTTTTTAGAGATTTTTTGTCAACCCAACTCCCAGAGATTTTTACTTCTCTTCTGGATACTTAGTAGTTTTAGGTTGTAAAGTTAAGTCATCCATTTTCAGGTAACGGTGTATAGTAGGAGTTGAAGTTCATATTTTACATATAGATTTGTTAAAAAGACTGCTCTCTCCATTGAACTATACTTGTATAGTTGTCAAAAATTGACCATATACATGTGACTCTATTTCTGCACTCTCTTCTGTGCCATTGACCCATGGGTTTATCATTTCATCAAAACCAGTCTTAATTATGCTAGCCTTATATAAGTCTTCCAATAAGGCGGGAGTCCAACTTTGCTCTGTTTTCAAATATTTTGGCTGCTCTCAGAGTTGCTTTCCACATGCTTTTATAATCAGCTTGCAGTTTGAACATTTCTACAGAGATTTTTGGTCAGAGTTCTCCGCTGAATGTATAGATCAATTTGGGGAGATTTAGAACTTTTTTTTCCCCCTGGCAGTACTGGCCATGAATTCAGGGCCTCTTGCTAGGCAGATGCTCTACCTCTTGAGCCACACCCCCAAACCTTTTCTTGCTTTGTTTTTCAAATAGGGTCTCACATTTTTGCCCAGGAATAGGGCATTTTATACAAACACACACACACACACACACACACATATTAGGTCTTTGATTTTTATCAATGTTTTCTACTTTTTGGCATAGAGGCCTTATAATTTTTTTTTGGCCTTTGAACTCCAGGCCTCATGCTTGCTAGGCAGGCACTCTACCTTGAGCCACTCCACCAGCCCTTCTTTGTGATGTGTTTTTTGGAGATAGGGTTTTGGGAACTACTTGCCCAGGCCGGCTGCAAACCACAATCCTCCTGATCTCTGCCTCCTGTGTAGCTAGGATCACAGGCGTGAGCCACGGGTGCCCGGCAGGCCTTACAATTTCTGATGTCATGTTTTTGGTGCTAGTATAAATGGAATTTTTTTTTCTAATACAAGTTTTAATGCAGAGGTTCACATCAAGAAATTTGCATTATGAAATTTCCTCCTCTTGATGCATGCAGACTTTGCTTCCCCCACCAGTGGTACTAGGGATTGAGCTCAGACCCCGCACTTGCTGCAGTTTTTCTATTCCAATTTATCTGGAACCTTTCCCCTGTGTGTTTCCATTTTCCCATCTACAGTTACAGTGACAAGATAGAAAGTTTACTCCTATGCAAGCTAGAATGGTTGCCATCAAAATTTTAAAATACACCCTTTAACTTGATCAGCCTAACAGTTCCTTCCCTTCATCTCCAAATAAGCTGTTGGTTGTCCACCGTTAAGGACAGGAGTTCTCATTTTTCAGGTGTACTTGAATTTTTCTTGGATGTTTTGGTAGGAGGAAGCATCCTAAATAACTAAAGTGTATTCTCTAGTAATTCTTTCAAAGAGGGTACACAAGAAATAAACTTCCTGAATTCTTCAATATCAAAAAATACCTTTGTTTTACCCTCAAAATTGAATGCCAATTTGGCTGGATACAGGATTCGAGGTTGAAAGCCTTCTTCTTTCAGAACTTTTATGATATTGGCCCATTGACTTCTAGCATCCAAGGTACCCAATGATAAATCGGCTGTCAATCTGATTCTGGTTCCTCTGTAGGTTATCTCTTTTCTCTCTCTGGAAGCCTTTATGATTTTATGTTTATCACTAGAGTTCCAAAACTTTACCAAGATATGTCTAGGAGTGAGTCTGTTTTCATCAATTGTACTGGGTATTCGGTTAGCACTGACAACTTCAAGATCTGAATCTTTCTTTAGCTCTGGAAAGTTTTCTTCAATTAATAAATGGAATTTTTAAGTTTTCACTTTCTAAATGCTTTTTGGTACTCTGTGGACATACAACTGACCACAGGTCATGCATACTGACCTTGCTAAGCTCACTTACTAGTTCTAGTATACTTCTTTTAACCCTTTGATTTTTCCATATGGCAATCACATTATCTACTTATTTCCAGTCTGTGGGCCTCTTCCCCCCTAGCCTTAGTGTACAGTGACCTTTATTACAGTTTTGGAAAGGAGTGCCTTGTTCCCAACCATAGAGTTCACCGTCTTCATCCTTTGTACGATCTTCACTGTAGGCCTCTTGTAAATGCTTTTTATCAGATTTATTCTTAATTTGCTGAAAGAGCTCTCCTGTATCATACATAGGTATTCCATTTTCTTTTTCCTGTACCTCTTGGGGTGCAGGAAACTTTTTGCCAAGGTTTTTTTTTTTTTGAGATACAATTCATATGCCATAACATTCACCACTTAAGCCATGTAATCCAGATGGCTTTCTCAGTTATTTTCTACTTTCTTTTGGCATACTGGCATTTGAACATGTGGCCTTACACTTCTTAGGCAAGCACTCTACTTGATTCATCCTCCATTTTTTTTTTTTTTTTGCTTTAGCTATTTTTCAGATAGGATCTCGTGTTTTTGCCTGGGCCTGGTCTCAGAACTTGATCCTACCTATACCTCCACATAGCTGGATGACAGAAGAATACCATTGTACCCTGATTATTTGTAAAGATGGGGGTTTCACTAGGCTCTGGTGGCTCATGCCTAAAATCTTAACTCCTTGGAGGCTGAGATCAGGAGGATTGTGGTTCAAGGCCAGCCCAGGCAAATAGTTCACAAGACCCTTATCTCCACAGCAATAAATGGATTGGAGGTGTGCTCATGCAAAGCATGAAGCCTTCAATTCAAACCCCAGTCTACCAAAAAAAAAAAAAAAAAAAAAGGGTGTGTATGTGGGGGGGATCTCAATAACTTTTGCCCAAACTAGCTTGGAACCCTGTTCCTCCATATATCTATGTCCTGAGTAGGTGGGATTGCAGGCATGCACCACTGTGCCCATCCACATTTTCTACAACTTTTGAGATGCTATGATTTTTTTGTATAGATTCAGTGAATTACATTGATTTTTTTTTTATAATGTTGAATCAACCTGTTGTTCTGAGATAGAGTCTATCTGGTCATGATGCATTTTTTTTTTGATATATTACCAGATTTCAGTTGCTTATTACAAAACTACACTAAAGCCCCATATATATATATATATATATATATATATATATATATGTGTGTGTGTGTGTGTGTATATCTATCTATATCTATATATAAGTATGTTGAATATACTTAATGCTTTTAGTAGAAACTAAGAATTTCTTAAATGCTGCATCACAAAATTTATCACTGGGAAAGGACATATTCTTTAAAAAGCTATTACAGCCAGGCACTGGTGCTCATGCCTGTAATCCTAACTATTCAGGAGGATCGCAGTTCAAAGCCAGCCTGGGCCAACAGTTCATGAGACTCTATCTTGAAAAACCCCTTGACAAAAAAGGGCTGGTGGAGTGGCTCAAAGTGTAGGTCCTGAGTTCAAAGCCCAGTACCACAAAACAAAACAAAAAGTTTTTACAGGTTTCATCTTATGAAATCATTTGGACTGGGTATGGGGTGTGCCTCAGCTGGTGAAGTGCTTGCTCAGCATCTTCAGTACTCAGCACTTGAAAATCAGTTGAATAAAAAACAACCTCACACAAGTAATGAAGTGTACATTAAATAAGCCCTAACAAGAAAAAAAGCCTTAAGTAATTCAAATAGAAAATAACTTCAATAATAAAGGCTTTAGTTTACTGGATCTCCTGGGTTTTGAGTGACTGCTCCAAAATTCCTGTGTCAAATGCTTAGGGGATGCACCTTGAGCAGAGGCAGTGCTGAAGGTCGGTCCTAGACTGAAGCTTCAGTTACACAAATTCATCTTCTTATTAGTGTTACAGAATCAAAACAGAAAACTTTGCTACAGGTGTTTTTATTCACATTATACATGAGATTGGAGAAATGTCAGTTATCAAATATCAAAACTGGGGAAGCTGAGGCAGTAAGCCTCCCTGCCCACCCCAGGTGTTGCTCTGCTTGCTTTAGTGCCTGAAACACTAAGTTTCTGCTTCCCACAGACAAGACCAGCAGGCTGCTTTCAGGTCTTCAGAGACAAGAATAGTAAGAAAAGTAGTCATCATCAGAACAGCACACATTAAAGAAAGAAAGAGTGGAAGAAAGTGAGAAGTGAAGACATACTCTCATTTCAAAGCAATTTTTGTTAATGATAATTGGAAAAAGGGTTTTTAAATTTTGTGTTTTCAGAAGCAATGTCAAATGGACTTGAAAATCAGGTAATTTAAAAGGTTTCTTGTATGTTAAGTGATTAAAGCTAAAGAAAAAAATGCAAACCCTTTTTTTTTTACAGAATAGTATAAATGTTTATTTTCTGTATGACTTACTTTCCTGTCCTGTTTTTACAATATAGAAAAGTGTATTTTTTGAATAGTTCTAGTAAATATAAATTTAATCTTTCTACTTTGGGATGTAAATAGAGCTAAAAAATTATATACCCAACCCTCCCCACAAATAGTCTTTTAAAATTGTTGAATTAATGTGACTATTAATCTTGTTCAGCAATTTGATGCAAATGCCTAAATACAAAAAGTTGTTTAGTAAGTACTACACAGGAGGAAAAAGGCTTAATACTTTAGTTTCTTGAAAATCAAAAACTAGTTGCATTTGATTGCACCTTCAAATTTTTTACAAGCAAAACATTCTTAAGCAATGCCATCATACATCATCTACAATTATAACCAAAATTTCACAAACATTTTCTGCACACTGTATATAAATACACATCACAACGGTGCAATTAGAATTAACACAAAATATATACAAAATGAACAAAGTTTAAGTTTAGACCAAAAACTTATTGCAATCTTTTGAAAAATAACTTGATTACATATTATTTTATCCTCTTACACTAATTTACATTTATACAAATTTTAATTAGGCATACTAGATTGAGGTGGTAAGAATGTTTGCACTATCTACATTTAAAGTTACTGCACTATAATTTTATAAATCCAAATTTCAAAAGGAGGATACTTTAATGAATAACGGAATCCTCTTCTGGATTACTTAATTTCTATTGCCTATATCTTGCATGTTCATATGAACATATATACACACTTACTACATACAACTACAGACTCCTTGTGGGAAATATAAGAGTTATATAATCACTGAGGATTCGGGGATCTAGCAAAATGCCTGAATTCCAGCATGGTTTTTTCTTATCATAAAATCAAGAGTCCTATTACAATAGGCTCTTAAATTCATAGGGCTTTTTAATTACTGAAAATGATTTAGGTTATTTTAGCAATTATATGAAAACACACATATCTTCAGCTTACCAAATTGCTGACTAAAAATAATAACATATTAAACGTCCCTTATAAAAAGAAACTCTACAATTCTGAAAGCTTTGTTAAGAGGCCCATTGGGTAAACCAGATTAAGAGTCATGTATCAGTTTGAAACTTCTCAGTTCAAAAGTCTACAAAAAAGGACTGTGTACATGAAAAATCTTTACCTAAATTCATCTCTTACAGCTTCAGTATTCCTATTTCTCCTTCTAATCCAAATTTTGTACTTGATACTTATGTGAGGTTCTGTATTCTCCCTCCATAACAACATTTACTTCTATTCACACATCTCACTTTCACAGTATCCAGTAATCACGTTCACAATTACTTTAAACACATGCCACCTCTTTGAAAGAAAATGGAGACATCCCAGAGCATTTCTTGGCCACTCCTCATTATAAACACACACTTCCAATCATTTGAAAATTCCTATTATACTGCCCCTTGGTATTTCATGGGTTTTTTTTTTTTGAAAAACAAAAATAACAACTTTTTTTATTTTAAAAGAGTGCATGAGGACTACTTCCGCCTTTGATATTTCTCAAAGAGACAATAGACATTTATTCCAGAGTTGACCCTAAAAAGCTGATTTTTCTTCTTAAAAAGATAGTGCTTTTCTAAATACAAAATGTCACTTGAATATGTTTCATGAGAATTTATGTAGACATTCTATCTGTGTGTATTCTAGATCTAGAACCAAAGAACGGGTAATACCCATGTTGCTTTGACTTTTTCTACTGAAGAGTCATACAACGCCATACATTATAAATTATATTACAGTAATTTATAAATGTTCTTTGTCAATAGAATCAGAAGAATAGAACATCTAATTCTTAAGAAACCCAAGAAATTAAACATCTATATAATAAAATAAAGAAATATTAAAAAAAATTCAATTTAGAAGGGGCATAAACAGAATTAACTAAGATTTAAAATGTACTCATTTTCTCATTTAAAATTTCTTCTCTTTCAATATAATTTAGATCTTTTAAAACAAGGACTGAATTAAAATACAGTAATTGTTAAACTATCTTCCAGGAAAATCAAATGTCATTGCACCTTAAGTTTCTGTACAGTTCCATTTATCAGTCTTTGTGCAAGAGTTAGCAATTCATGGCACAAGGGTCACTTTTTGCTTTTCCTGCAGAGTTGATGACACTCATCAAACATCGTCCAAATTCCTCAAGTATCATCCGTTCTGCTGCTGCCTTTGATTTTCCTTTCTTGTCTGCTTGCTCTGCCTGGGCGAGAAGGCAATTACACGTGGCTTCAGCTACTTCTTTAGTTACAAATGTAAATGGCAACCTGAAATGATTTTTGAGAGAGAAAGAGAGAGATGATGATGGGGCTGAATATAATAAAAGTAGGTAGCATCCTTTCATCTGGGAATCTGTTGATTCTTTCATGATTCATGGGCACAATGAGCATCATAAATTACAATTAAGCACACCCTAAAGAGCTTTAAAAACTTAGATTTGGTTTTATTATTGAGCATATTTTAAAACATTACTCAGGAAATGTAACATTTAATATAAAATATATTTATTACTTAAATAAGACCATCTAGTTAACTAAAAGAGTAATTCTACATATACACCGAACATTTCTATAACTAACGTCCTCGCAGTTCATGAATGTAACTTCCATGAACGCAGTCTTGTTTTTATAGTGCCTGATAACCAGTGACATTCCATGAATATTTGCTAAATGAATTAAGACTGGGAACTATCTCTTAGGCAACACTGAAAATAAAACACTTTACCACTTTCTCAAATTGTTTGTAAAATAACAAAAAAGCATACCAAAACTCTGCATTGTTCCATTACAACAAAGGGAACATCAGACAGACCTGAACAACAGAATACTAGAGTAATCTATACTGAGGCTCTCTATATTGTAGCCAGGTCAGACCTCAAAGCCTGAGAAAAATTAAATCAGACAACCTAATCTAACCACCACTTCAACTACCTGTAAGTAGTAAGCAGTAACTAAAAGAACACTGAAAGACTAAACAAAATAGAACACTGAAAGACTAAGCAAAGTCTGAAATTAAGGTCCACAATGACAAGAGTGAGAAGGATTCAGATGGCCACACAATTATACAGAAATCTTTCATGTACAAAGAAGCACTGTAGAAAACATTAATGCCACAATGTTAATATTATAATGTGTAATTAGTAATACTAAAAAAATTTAAATGCTCATTATAAAACATTTGTACTGAACGCCAGTGGCGCATGCCCGTGATCCTAGCTACTCAGGAGACGAGATTGATGGAGGAGCTCAAGTGCTAAGAGTGCTTGCCTAAAACAGGGCAGGCAGAGTGGCTCAAGTAGTAACAGCACCTACCTAACAAGCATGAGGTCCTGAGTTCAAACCCCAATGCTGCCAAAAATAAAAATAAAACATTTGCAGCTATAGAGAAGTAAAAGGAAAGAAAAAGAATTCCAAATGGAAAAATTATATTTTATTGTAGCAATATCTTAATCTCCATATGAAGAGTAGATTTAATCATCTGAATGATCATTAAAAGACCAGAAAGGATCCCATGTCATAACTCTAATTAAGGGGTCTACCATTTCCACTTTATTCAGTCAAGAAACACTGGCAGATTATATTTTAATTGTAAGAGCTGAATCAAATATAGTGGCACAAGAATTTAACCCCAGCACTCAGGAGGCAGAGACAGGAGAATCACAAGTTCAAGGCTGGGTTGGGCTACACAGCAAGACCCTGTCTCAAACAAAACAAAACAAACAAACAAAAAAACCTAATAGCTGAGCTATTTTACAAAAAGAAAAAAAAAAAGAGAGAGACTTTTACAAGCATTGGATCTTATTTCAACTTAGGCATTTTAAATAGCATCATCTGCAAAGTTTATTTTCTTAAATTAATTTCTTATAAACTTCCTAATATAAATCCAAGTCAAAATTAAAAACTGTGTTGGCATGAGACCCCGACAAATGCTTGCAATAAAAAGGCTTCATTTATCCCAGCTACCTGGTATATTTTAAGGATAAGAAAACAGGCTAAGAGAAAAGTGTTTAACTCACAAACCACTAAGTACTGCAGACAGTATTCACATTCAGGTCTACCTGACACCCTCCCCACACACACCCCTTTTTTTTTTTTAAACACTTTGGTATATATCCTTTTAATTAATTGTATTTTATCATACATATACTGTGGAGAAAAGCCTCCCATCCCTGCCCCTTACACTCCTTTGCCTAGCTACCCGCCATCCTTCCCTTTTAATGGCGTCCTAATAAATCTTTGCTTTTCCTGCTCTCTTGGCAAATTCTTTTAACAACTTGCACTCTGCAATACTATATATAGGACTTTGAGTGCTCCAACAGGATAGGAAAGTGCTCCGAGAATGTGAAAAAAGCAAGAGAAGGTAAGAAAGCATAAAAATATGAAGAATAATACTCTCTAAAAGAAGTATAAAAACTGCTTTTCTTAAGGGTTTCTCAAATTACATACCTCATTTTAGCAGAAATCGTAACTAAAGCATTACTGTGCACTTTAGAATAGCACAATATATCTCACAGTGGTTTTTATGTCACCCTCAAATACCTTTAAAAATAAGTAAGATGGAAAGAAAGTGGAAATATCAGGTTGGCAACAACCAAAAGTATGAACTCAACTTTGTCTTTTAAAAGAAACTTTACCAAAAATGAATATTTGAGAAATAACGTAAAAAGAGATTTTTTAAAATTTTGACTTACTTTCCTCCTCCACTGTTCAAAGCCGGTGTTGGCCTTGTGAGCAAGTCCGAAATTTGAGAAGATAATTTAGTCTTTGCTGCTGTTTGTTGCTGTACCCTGACTTCGGCTGCATCTGCTAAGTGCATCAATGTCTTTCTTTCTGGACTTTCTTCAAAATTCTTACAGCCAATGCATTTGCATATTGAAGAACACATTATTTTTGCCTAAAAGATTTACAAAAAAATGCTTCTAAATTAAAACCAAAAAACATTACTATAGATTCCATAATCAATCCAACAAATAATAGCACGATCTGGTGAGCCAACAAGGTTAGATGCAAGCATCTGTTGTTGACAAAGACTAAATGGGCCAACTATGCATGGATATGTCAGGCACTTTTAAGTCTGAGAGGTGCTGACCAATATTTGTGTGTAAATCCTTTCATGCCAACTTTCCTCTGCTATGAATAGAGTTAGACCTTGATATGAATGTTATGTTCTTCAAAAGGACTGTGAATGATACATTAAAAGTAAATGTCATTCAGAATTCAAACACCTCAACCAAATCACCATTTGTATGTCAGTGACCTGATATTTATGCAAACATAGCAACAATTTCACATTAAAGGGATATCATTATGTTGTTTTTATGACAGATACTTTCCCCCACTAAATTCCTTTCCTTCTAGATTCCTCAAATGCTTCAACAGTCTCAAACCCATAAACCAGTATGTTCTTCCATGTAAAAATATACGTATGAAAACACAGAGCATATGTACTTATACCAAATAACAAATACGTTATTCTGTTTTATAGTTGGGTTACAAAATTATATACCTACTTTTCTTTTCGGCCTCTTGCTTTCCTTATACTCCCTCAACTCCTGAAAGCCCTCCTTCCAGTCATCTGGCATGGACAGAATTCATTCCACTTAATGGCGAGGTATTAACCTCCAGAATGACGTGCCACATTTTTGAGGCATTCATAACCCTACTGACGGGCATTTATTTTGCTTCTAGTTCTTGGGGAACCCAAACAATGCATAAAAAGATTAGAGGGGGTTGGAGTAAAAATTATGTTTTTATTTCCTTGAGCCACATTTCTAGAATGGGGTTCAATGGTCAAATTTATTTTTTTAATTTAATTTGATTATTTACTTTAATTTTAATAGAAGTGGCCAGATAGCCTTTTCTTGCAGTTAACAACTCACCTCTCATGAGCAATGTATAAACAAGGCTTCCCTGCATTTCCTCTAACAATGGCGATTAAGGGAAGGGCATAAAGTGAAATCCCATGGTTCTTTACATTTCCCTGATTTTTAGAGATCTGAGGGTCTTTTTTCACCTGCATTTTCTTCAGTGAAACCACGTAAATTTAACTAAATAAAAGCTATTGTCCCTTCTCTATATAGAATATAGCAAGATAAGTGTACTACATTTTAAACACATTTACTCTGTTCTTATTTGTTTAGTTGTTGTTTTGGCTTTTTGAGACAGTGTCTTGTAGCTGACTTGTAGCCCAGGCTGTCCTCAAACTCAAGACCCTCCTACTTCAGCCTCTTGAGTGCTGGAATTACAAGCATGTTCTATGACTCCTACAACACACCAAAAAATTCCATTTACAAAGAATCATGTATGTATGTTTGGGTTAAAAAGGTTACTTTACTGTGAGCTTGTCTAGGAGTCAACTAAAACACCTATGACGCATCTAAAAGGAAAAAGCCATGGCTTTGGGACAGGGAGGCATCAGTGGTGGTGCTTTGGATTTTAAGAACTAAGATACTAGTACTAATTAATACTAACAGGAGCTCAGGACAGAAAACAATGACAAGAAATCTACTCAGCTTTTCTAATTCAACTGCCCCTGTAGCCAAACCAGGGGAGGGTTAGGAGAGGCAGGGTGGTCAAAAGAAAAGGTGCAAGCAGCTGGGCATGGTGGCTCATACCTATAATGCTAGCTATGCAGGAGGTATAAGTAGTAGGACTGCAGTTGGAGGCTGGTCTGGGCAAAAAGTGAGACCCTATCTGAAAAGTAATGCAAAAAGGACTGGATTTGTGGCTCAAGTGTGAGGCCCTGATTTCAAATTCCAGTATTGCCAAGAATAAATAAATAAGTATAAGCATTTAAGCAATGTTTGACAGTCACTCATCCAATTAACTAACCCTTGAAGCCATATGCAAAAGAACCTGAATGTGTTGTCCAGATGTAAAACAACCAGACCAAAAAGCCAATTCTACTGAAGACCAAGGTGTCAACATAAAAAAATTTCACATAGGGTCCTATGTGGTACCTTATACTTATATTCCCAGTCATACTGGAGACAGAGGTAGTTGGATCCTGGTCCAAGGTCAGCCCTGAGCAAAAGCATGAGTGCCTATCTGAAAAATAACTAAAGTAAAAAGGGCTTGGGGCATGGCTCAAGTAGGAGAGTGCCTGCTAAGAAAGCACAAGAGCCCTGAGTTCAAACCCCAGTAGCACCAAAAACAATTTTTTTCAACATAAACTATCAGACAACATCACTAATTCAGAGTAAGCCAATTAATTTGTTATTCATAGTTTAGTATGTATATTCCAAGTTAGCACTTGCCTAACAATCACAAGGCCCTGAGTTTAAGCCCCAGTACCACCAAAAAGTAAATACTCATAAGCCAAATATTTTATCAAGTATTTCAATAGATTAAAGAGTGAAAATATTCCAACAGTGGAGGGAAAACTGGCTTCTTAGACTTCAAGATGTTATTTAAGAGATCATAAGAAATAATCTTGACTTTATATGATTTTCACTCATATTTATAGTAGACTAAGACATTATTCTACTATTCTACTTTACTTCTTGAGAAAAGTACTTAATTTTTTAAATAGTAAATTCAGAAAGAATTCATTTTACAGCAAATGCAGTGCACAAAATCTCTAACATGACACTTTTTTTGTGGTACTGGGGCTTGAACTCAGGACCTCATACTTGCTAGGCAGGCGTTCTATCACTTGAGCCACTCTGCCAGCCTTATATGACACATTTTATATGAAAAAGGGCATGGTTCTGCAGGACATATCTTACCAAGGGAAAGTGCACCCATTACCCATTAACAGTGTTACTTTACCATGTGCAAGGCTAGGCTTTCTGCCAAAACTAAAAAAGATTCCATTTGAGAATGACATTTGAAGGAATGAAAACATAGTAGAGGAGAAGAGTCAACTATAGGAATGACTCAAACCCAAGAGACTGCCAGTTGAGTTTCAAGCATACCAAGAAGCTTACCCTCTGGCATTACTAGATTATTGTATTTAAGGTTTGAAAAAAAACCAATAAGTTGCATAGTATCTTATCCACTCAGAACTCCAAAAGGCCTGTGGAGAAGCAGCAGGTAGCATTGTCCCAGTGCTGAGAACCACTGCTGTAGTTTCCAAACCACTTTGATGTTATTACCTTTATTGAAATTTGATGTATGAGTGCCTTATTTACATTCTTTCAGGGATAATGACCAAAAAGTTATGAGCTGGTAAGCCAGCTAATGAGACCAGAAGTTGTACTATTTGTTTCCTGCCCTGATTGGAAGGCTACAGGCCTTCTTCAAACAAGGGCCCTGGGACATACTTGTGCATACTTTCAACCTGCAATAGAAAGATGACTTCCCAGTTTTCAAGTAAATCTTTGTAGCATGTTCTTTCTAAAACTGTTTTCAAAAGATGGGTAGCTGGGCTGGTGGAGTGGCTCAAGTGGTAGAGTGCCTGCCTTACAAGCATTAAGTCCTAAGTTCAAATCCCAGTACTACCAAAAAAAAAGAAAAGATGGGTAGGTTATCTTCCCAACAGCATCTTACCTCATAGCATTCACAGTAGTTTTTAAGACATCCTGATCGTTTGCAATTGCAACCTTTGCTATGACGCCGATCGGATTCTCCTTCTTTTCCTTTCCCTATCTTCGGCTTAAAGGCTTCTGGATTTCTGTCAAGGCATGCCTATCAAAACAAATCAAATGTCAACTGAAGTTAAATCACAGTAGATTCTTTTTTGGGGGTAGTACTGGGATTTGAACTCATGGCCTTGTGCTTTCGAGGCAGCCCAGCAGATTAAATTTAAACATCACAGGGAAATTAATAGGCTTTTTTTTTTTAAAGACAATTGAGCTCTTTAAAACAAAAATAGGGCTGGTGGAGTGGCTCAAGTGGTAGAGTGCCTGCCTAGGAAATGAAAGGCCTTGAGTTCAAACCCAGTACCCTAAATAAATAAATAAATAAATAAAAAAATAGAACAAAGGTCTTGGACTGGAGGTGTAGCTCAAGAGGTAGAACACTTGCCTACAGCAACCACAAGGCACTGAGTTCAATTTCCAGTACTACCACAATAAATAAATACTGACATGTGAGTTAAAAAATAAATAAAACAAAAATAAAAAAAAAAACCCAGGTGAAACAGGAGATTTTTGTCAGTTAAATTAAATAAAAACTAATCACCTTTATTGCTTTTTGCCTTTCATTTTCATGTTCTAAATTGTTATAACAATTAGTACAATTGCAGTTGTTGCAGAATTCACCATTTGCAAAGCAATCACAATATCTGGAAGATAAAACAGAAAAAGATAAAAAGTCATTATTAAATAAAATTAGTAATTACCTGATTATTTATGAATATATTTTATATATACATTATATAAATGGTACATTTTAGAAATTACTCAGAGCCACCTCAATACAAGGTTAACAATATATGGATAGTTAACCATATACTAAAGTTCAAAATTTTAGTTACCAAATCTTAGAATTTTAGCCTAAAAACTTAGTGCAGCTATTAACAGCTGCCAGCACCAGAGCTATGTGATTTTATGTGCCCCCATGTAAGTGATGTCAAAATGCTGAAGAAAAACACTGGCTAAGTTTATCTTCTGTTGGCACTGTGGTGAGCGATTCTGACTCCACAAATGCTTTGAGTGTTTATAACACCACATCCTTGGAGAACAGCACAACAAAATGAGCAGGGACATATGTGCCTGTATCTTGTGTCTCTTCCCAATATTAGAGTAATGGCTTTATAGACCCCAGTAAGTTTGTTAAAATCACTTAATTCTCAGGGTGTGCCTTTTAGTTGGATTTTCATTACTGAATTCTGAAATGATAGAAATTATCTTTATTTTTCTCAGTGAGGTCAATTACATGCCTTGTTCTGAAATTTATTTTTACCAGAGTTGTGATATGGTTTTGGAAAAAAAAAAAAGTAAATGATATTGGGTGCAATTTGTTGGTATGGCTTATATATCCTTCTGTATTTGTCATTTATTCACACTAAGCTAACTATAAATTACTGACAAGTAGAATCAAAGGTCTAGCTGATTGAAGACTACAAGCAAGATCTACAAATTAAGACAATACATGTAAATTTATGTTCTTGTTGTAGTCATGAAAATTAGAAGTCTAATAAAGGGGGGATAAACGAGAAGGAAGAGAAGGGGAGGGGAGGGTAAGTGAAAGGGAAAGGGGAAAGAAAAGGAAAAGGAAAGGGAAGAAGGAGGAAGAGAGAGAGGGAGGGAGGAAAAAGTAAGGAAAACACTGCCTAACATTATATTGGTGGAACCTGCTCACATAAACTACAGCAATGCTTCTTTGGATTTTAAGTCCCCTAAAGACCAATGCTTTTTACTGAAATGTTTCATGTCAAATCTTTTAGTGTAATCCCAATAAGCAAATTAATCATATGATGATTTTTCAGACTACTCTGAGTATCACCTCAGAGGGGACCAAAATACAAAAGTCTTAAGATCAAATTTACTATTATTAAAGACATATACTACATATGTCTCACGCTGCTAGGTTCCTAGTCCCTACACTTCAATGACTCATGTATGGCAAAGACTCTAAAATTATTTCTTTCTGAATTAAGGAAATACTTTTATGCTACTACATGTTCTCCAACATTCACTTGTATGTTTATTTTAATTACTTAGACTTATGAAATTGGTCTGTTAAGAACTTTTAATTAGCTCCATTTATTTTTAAAAACACTTCTAGTTACATCTAGAAAGCAAACGATAGCAAAAATACTTACAATTTTAAACACAGTGATTTTGTACAATTACAAGGCTTTCTGGGTCGACTGGCAGATTCTGAGGGGATTATGCTGTCCAGACATCCAGACACAAAAAAAGATAGACAATTCAATTAATTAAAAACATTTAAAACTAGAAAAGTCAGTGATTTATAAATTCCTCCTAAAACAAATCTTTAACAAATGCATCCATCTCTAAAACTTTGCTATGTTGTTTCAGTTACACTTTTTAAAAAGTTATCAGTGGCTTCACAAATATTCTTCCCTTGAGAGAACAAAGGTTCCCTTGAGTGAACAGGTCAAAACTCTTAGGATTCAATTATAAAAGGTAGTAAGGAGAAAGGGGTGTGTGTGAAGGCGGAATGGGGTGACATGTATGGACTAGTTCCCTGTAATTAACTGCTTCTAAATTGATATTGCAAAGGCAGCAATAAAGAGATTAACAGATAATAACCAAAGCCCCTCAAAACCTAACATAATTTTTTTAAAAAGTTTTCACTTTAAAAACATGTTCAGAATGACAGAAAAGAGAGCAGAGGAAAGAAAATAAAACAACACAAATTGATGAATCTGAGTACAGGGCATTTAGAAGTTGACTATTTCTATAACTTGTGTGTTTGAAATATTTCAAAATAAATGTACTTTAGAGGAGTCTTTACTCCCATTCCCTGCATGAAGAGCAGGAAATGTTTCTTCCTCCTTTCCCCCACTTCTTCCTACTTTATCCTGTTAAATTAAAATAAATCCTTGATAAAACTGCTAAAAAAAAAAAAAGTACTTTAGAGGAATGGTCACATGGCTTTAAGGTGAATATCACATTAGATATATTTAAATATGCTGCATTTGCTGATTCAACAACTTAGCTTATACATTTTCAAAATACTCACCCATTGAATGGAAGCCTTGCCTGGGTCTGGATACCAGTTGTTCCAGTAAAGTTAGAGTTGCTTGCTATAGACACATATGAAGACTGCTGTAGCTATGTGATTAAAAAAAAAAAAAAAGTTTAAGTTTAGATACTTACAAAAATGGGCAATACCTTCAGATACAATGGTCAGTACGAAGCACATCTCATCTACCAAAAAAGGAAGAAAAAAATGGAGAATTTCAAACAAACACCTACCTCATGGAAATTTTTCTGAAGTCTCAAACCAATACTAAGGTGAAAAGAACATGAATGCTTTATAGTACTAAGTGCTAAAGATATAAGAAATCACCTTATAGAGGACTGTTAGAAGTATAGAAAATTCTACATGAATATATCAAGTACTGAAATAATTTGTACTGCTAGAAAAATGTAATATGCCTTCTTGCAAATAAAGTCGGTTCTATATTGATAATTTTTTCCACCTCCCCCTTATATTAATCATTTATCATGTTACATTATTTTACACTAATTTCTAAATATAACAAATGTCTATGATAAAAATACTTAACTTTTTTTTTTTTTTTTGCAGCACTGGGGTTTGAACTCAGGACCTCACACTTGCTAGGCAGGCACTCTACCACTTGACCCAATCCACCAGCCCCTTTTTGTGCTAGGTATTTTTGAGATAGGGTCTCACCAACTATTTCTCCAGGCTGACTTCAAATCACGGTCCTGATCTCTGCCTCCTGAGTAGCTAGGATAAAGGTGTGAGCCACTGGCACCTGGCATAATTTTTAATCTAAATATACATTTCACTAAAGTACATGTATAGGATTCTATTTCTTCACTTATAATTAGAGTTAATAAATTCAACAGTTTTAGAACAAAGTGTTCATTTGCTTGATCCTTAACATGACAAAGAAAACTTCCATCTGCTTCATGGAAGCAGCACTCTCAACTCAACCTACCCATTGCATATCACATGGCTTCCATTCTAAACATGACCAGGTGGTAGTGGAGAGACCACTATAGTCAGTCTTTTCTAAATTCATTGGGACTCTGCTGATTTTAACTTCAACTTTCTTTTTTCAAATCCTCATACTCTTGCTTCTCACCAAGTTGCTCCAAACTGTCACATTTTTATCTGACTTGTGTTGTCTGTTTCTAAATGCTGAAGATACACAGAAATAAACTCAAATATTTCAGTTAATATTTCAGGATTTTAGAAAGAACCATTTTCATACCATGTTCAGTGTTTTTGAGTAGTTTCAGAATGTGGTAGCATTAAACATCTCGTAGCCAATTCTCACTTCTGAAACACAGTAACTTCATATTTTCACATACCTGAGTAACATACTGAGCTGGAAGAACTGCATAACCCACATTCCCTGTTCCTGGAGCCGGTGCCAGGACAGTACCTGGTGGGAGGTTAGTGAGGTTGGGCTGGATCTGTGGCAGTGGTGTGGCAGGCATGATAAGCCGTTGCTGTGGCTGGCTAGTAGTTACTATTTGGGACGCTGGATTGATTGGTTTTGGAACAACCTGAGGAAAAGGAAATTTCGTGACAATGATCACAAAATAACTTTATAGCTATTTAATTCAGTATAAATCTCTTATACCTAAATCTTAACTTTGACCTTAAAAAGTGAATTTTCATTTGGGTGAAATGAAAATTTATGTGATACTCACTTGTTTGACAGTCTGAGCTGGGACAAATGGAACTGACATCCGTACTGGGGTTGTATTAACAACCACTGGCTTTGCTTTTGAAAAGAAAAAAAATATAAACAATTTATTTACAGAAAACTACTCAAAACTTTTAAGAGTACCAATCTCAAGTTATCCTCATGAAGGACCTTAAGTCATTCCATTTGCTTCCAATTTTGACCAATCTTTCTTTCTTTCTTTCTTTCTTTTGTGGTACTGGGGCTTGAACTCAAGGGCTACACCTTGAGCCACTCCAGCAGCCCTTTTTTGTGATGGATTTTTATGAGATAGGGTCTCGCAAACTATTTGCCTGGGCTGGCTTCAAACTGCGATCCTCCTTATCTCTGCTTCCTGAGTAGCTAAGATTATAGGCATGAGCCACTAGCACCCAGCTCAATTTTGACCAAGCTTTAGTCAGAATAGTTACCTTTCAAAATTGCTTACCCATCTACCAGAGAACACACACACACACACATATTATGACTACAGTCTATTCACTTTAGAAGGGGATATTTGTAGGCTTGAGGCATTCTACTGGAAGACATTTCAATCTGTATTCATAGGTTTGGAATACAATATTAAATCCAGTCAAATGAAATATATAAATAAAACAACTGACATTTGTGAGCTTGAGTAATAGCACTATTTTACGATACTATTTCTAGTCACTGTGTTTCTAGCTTCTATTTCAACCAGAGAAAGTACATTCTTATACAATTCAATATTTAAAGAATAATAAAAGGCAGCATGGTATACAACATAACAATATAGATTCTAAAATTATAAGACTTCCCTTCCCTTTCCCATTCCTCCCTTCTTTCCTTTTTTGTAGTATGTGGATTGAACTTAGGGCCTTGATGCTCTACCACTTGAGCCATGCCCCCAGCCCCCAGTTCTGGCAAATGTTTTTTTCCCCTCTAGTATTGGAGTTTGAACTCAGGGATTCATGATTGCTAGGCAGGTGCCTTCACCACCTGAGCCACTCCACAAGCTCCCTTTTTTGGGGAGTACTGGGATTTGAACTCAGAGCCTCACTCTTGCTAAGCAAGCACCTCTCTACCACTTGAGCCACTCTGCCAGTAACTGAAACCAATATGATGCAAGTCTGAGGTTTTTTTTTTGGGGGGGGGGGCAGCAGTGGGATTTGAACTCAGGGCCTCATGCTTGCTAAGCAAGGACTCTTACTGCTTGAGCCACTCCATCAGTCCTCTGGCACTTTCTAACTACCTAAACTCTCTTTGCCTGTATCTTCATCTGTAACACAGGGAGAATCTAGTTTCTAAGGTGTAAGGATTAAATATGATGATTCATGAAAATTGGTTCGCAAGGAGATTGCATTCTAGTAGGACAGATTAGGCAAGAACCCAAATAAAAGAAATACTACTAAGGAAAAGAAACTGCTGTGGGATTTCAAAGAAGAGAGAATATTCATCTTAATGGCAGAAAACAGGAATATGGAAAGACTGCAGGGAGGACATATTGAGATGGATACTGATCAATGGGCACACAGACTGGAGCAGGGTGTTTCCTGCAGACAGAAGCATGAGAAGTGGAGGCTCCATAATGGGAAGCTGCAAAGCATGTTCACAACATGTTAGTGAATAGACCTTTGGCTGCAACCTAGAGTTAAATTGGACAAACACAGGCAAAAAGGCAGATTGCACATAGTTTGCTGAGGACCTGGAATGTTAAAATAGAGCTTCGTATATTTAATCTGCAATTTTAATCCAGTAGACAATGAAGAGTCTGAAGATTTTTTAAGTACAGAATATTATTTTATTAGCCCAGAAGGAAACTGAATTTGGCACAGAGTATAAAGCATAATTGAGTTGCAAGAAGTAAGACAAGGTAGGAGAATGAATGAAATGAAAGGAAGGAACAGATGCAAGACCTGGTGGAGGTGAAAGGAACACCACCACCAATCATCAATGCTAGGGATTGTGCTTACAGGGAAGAAAAAGCATACCAATGAGGAGCTCAAGAAAGAAGGAAAATGATGGGTATGAGAACTAAAACCTCTAGGTGAGCTGATTTGAAGGAAGGATGAAAACTGACCTTGAGAAATAATGGGATGAAATTCAGGAAAGAGGTTTGCCCAAGACCAAAAGAAGAACAACTGTTAAGGGCCTGCTCTCTTAAAGGAAGGATTAAAAAAGATAGAAAGGACATCGCTTTGGGTTTCATTTATGCAAAAGAACAAGCTGGGCAGAAGCATGAAATCCTATCAGAGAAATAACCAAGGCTGAAAGGGCTAGTGGTGTGACTCAGGTCCTAGAGTGCTTGCCTAGCAAGCAGGAGGCCTTGAGCCCAAGCCCCAGTTTGGGGGTGGAGGGAGAAAGAGAGACGAGAAAAGCAGGCCAGTGCAGCAAGGTGACACACCAGGGAGAAGGTGGGAGAGCAGGAGAAAGTGTATGATTGGGGTGATGGTCTCACAGCTCTGTGAGTGTGCTAAAACCAGTAGTCATATGCTTCAAAAGGGTAAGTTTTATAGATGTGTGTACATATATACATACATATTGGAACACATATAAAATGAGGTATCATGGAGGGTATATATATATGTATAGACATAAGTTGTTTCTGTTCTGGTTTGACTTTCCTCAGCTATATTGAATTACACTTAAAGTTACAATAACCATTACAGACTGCTCTGTCACATTCAATGGGAGATTGTCCCTGGCTCCTCCCCATGCATATGCAGGAACATGCATGTGCACACACCCAGTTTTATATATGGTATCCATACACTGAGTTGTTTTTGTTGTGGTGGTTGTTTTGCTCCAGTACTGGGGATTAAACCCAGGGCTTTGCCCATGCTAGGCAAGTGTTGTACTACTGAAGTTATTTTTTGAGCCAGAGTCTTGTTATGTGACTCAGGCTGGTAAAGGACTTACAACTGTCCTGCCTGAGCCTTGTTTTTATAGGTATGGACCACCATGCACCATGCCCAGACCACACTAAGTTTTAAGTGAAGACTGGGAGTAAAAATGATGTAAAATGAAGTGATCAGAAAACAGGTACTGTTAGGAGGGTGGAGGGGGAAGGTGGCCAAAACAATCATGTGAGTAAATGTAAAAACAATAAAATAAAAGAAAGAAAGAAAGAAAATGGGTATTATTAATATACCTAAGGAAGGAGATATTGTGTATTTAAGCCAGTAGGTCCTATTTCTCCTACTCTTTATCTCAGTGTTCATTACTAGCTACTACTGCAGTTTCCACAAAAGCTGGCGTAATCTTCTATTTTTAAGTCTTTAAAAAGAACTATGGAGCCGGGCATTGGTGGCTCATGCCTGCAATCCTCGGTACTCAGGTGCAGAGATCAGGAGGATTGTGGTTCAAAGCCAGCCAGGTCATATAGTTTGTGAGACCCTATCTTGAAAATACCCAACACAAAAAAGGTCGGATGGATTTGCTCAACTGGTAGAGCCTACCTAGCAAGCATGAAGTCCTGAGCTCAAGCCCAAGTACTACCAAAAAAAACCCCCCAAAAAACTGGACAACTGTTTAGACTAGTTTCCTCCCAGAAATCATCTTGGCAAGTGTTTAAAGTTTTGAAATTTCTTAAACTGATTTCCTCCCTTCCACCAAGATGATATATACTGGAGAGGTTAGTCAAGCACTCTCCTTCTATTATACTGTCTACCACTGAGTCAGCAATTAGCCCCAGGGAACCTTTGAATGTTGATTTTTTTTCTTTATTCATTTATTCATATGTGCATACATTGTTTGGGCCATTTTTTCTCCCTGCCCCCTCCACCCTCCTCGCTTCCAGGCAGAGGAAAATTCTCCAATTTTGTTGAAGAGTAGACATAAGCAATGAATGTTGATTGTCATCAAGCATTTTTTTTTTGGGAGGGGGGAATGTATAAGACAAATCTAATACCCTTTGGCATTTAAGTAACTCTTTGTCATAGGAAATTAGATCCTTAAAAGGAAACACTAATATATTTGATCAAATAGGGCAACTATTTAGTATGTCTATATTAAAATTATACATTTAACAGGAATACAGAATTAAATGCATAATAATATATATTATGTATACTCAGATCTGTTATTGGATGGGAGAGAATGACAGGAAGAGAAAAATGTAGGTAGATATAATTGCATGAGTGGTGGTAGGGGTCTGGCAAACACCATAGAGATGAAAAGGAGGTGAAGGAAACAGAAACAGAGGGGAGAACAGAGAGGCAACATTGAAGGCAGAATGCAAGAAAGGAAGAAAGTGGGATACAGAAGGTAGGCAAGTGGGATGCAGTGGTACAAGTGCAAGAGACTGCCAGGAGAATGAGTAAAAAAGTAGAGAAACAGAAATAATGTTAGAAAAGAAAGCACCAGTAAACACACTAGAATTATATGTCCAAATACATCCCTCTGCCTCCCTCAATCTTCAGCTCCCATTTTTTACTTGTAACTAAGGCTTATTCTTGCTGAGTGAGTGTTAGCATTACACTGGAAATGAGTTCTCAGCATACTGCACCCACACAAACACAACAACTGAAATATAACCAGCAGTGTCTGCTGACTGCTTTAAACCATCATGGCAGCTAAGTAGACCAGACTTATCCCTGCTAGGCTTAGATGCTGAGAGAACATAAAACTCGACTCCCTTACTCATGATACGCAAGTTTCATTTTTTTCTCTCAGTTTAAAGAGAAATTAGGAAAGTATAATTACTTAAGCTGTCTAACTTAATAGAATACATACTGAAATTTCCAATTACTTCAGTAATTTGAAAAAGAAATAGTACAGACTTGTTCAGGTAGACTTGCTATCAGCAATAGGTAGTTCTAAAACCTCTGATGTCTTAATAAAATGAAAGAGCAGCTTTTAATTCTATTTACTTCTTTGTTTTGTCTTATGGTGGTGGGGAATGGAATACAGGGCCTTGCACTTGTACCACTGAGTTACATCTCTAGCCCTTCTATTTACTTCTAATAAACAATCAAATGTTTACTAGCCATCAACTATTTTTTGGCATGGCTGGTATATGAAGCAGTTTTCCAAAAAAGACTTAAGCCTTAAACTATAAAGTATTCTGAGCCATTCAACTTTTCAAAACACAGATAAATATGAGAAAGGTTATACACGTTTCTGTGTATGTGTGTGTGTATATCAGGTGGTAGGAAGAGTTAAATGCAACACAAAAGACAACAAAGAGAAGTATCTAACTGAGCAAAATAACAGAACATTTTAGCCACTTTTTATTACCAATTATAGATTTAAATAAGTATTCACAAAGTAAGAAAAAAGCAGTATCACATTCTTACATATTTGTATCTTGACTGTATTTCAACTAACCCATATTCTATCAAGGGACTAAACATTCAGAAATTAAGATAGTTCGGTTGCATTTCAACCTACCCCACTGGCATGAATGGTAGGTTTCAAAGCCAGCAGTAAGGCTCAAGTGGTAGAAGCATGAGACCTTGAGTTCAAACCACAGTACCACAAAAAAAAAATTACAAATAAATAATAATAACAAATAAAGCCAGTAGTAAAATAACCAGCCACAAGTTAAGAACTACTTAAGGTTCTCTGGTATTACAGCACTCCTCTAGCTACCAGCTTCGGGCAGACTGAAATACCAGTTAATATACAATAGGATTCTGTTTCACTGCCTTCTGCAGCAGCTGCTGATTCAGACTATCAGCTGAAAGGCCACACTTAATCAGAAGTTCAGCAAGAAAAGGACCAATGCTCTTTAATATTGTTAAAAGTATTCAGAACTGTGTTTAAAAAATGTTTACCAACCTTGTTGAAGAGGCTGAGTGTTTGTACTGGGATTCTGACTAACTGGCTGGGTTGCGCTACTGGCTGTCGTGGCAGTAACCAGTCGGACATAATGAAACTTGCTTCCAGGCACTTGAATCTGCTGGACATTTGGAGCAGTTGCCAGAGGAATAATTGTCTTAAACTGTGATGTGCTCACTCCTCCAACAGTGATGGTCTGCACAGCTGATTTTACTGCCTATTAAATAATACAACACAACATGGCTATTGTTAATCTGCAGTTGTTAATTTATAACAACTGCTCAAGTAATAGAGTATACTCCTATATGTCATCAAAAGCTGCTAGAAGGAATAACCTGTTCAAAGAGAATAAAAAGAACAGTAATGAATACAGGAGAGAAACCAAAATTACCCAGTTCTATCTTTCATCTCTAAATAGTTTAGGTCAGATGACTTGCTATAAAAAATTATTACTTAATTTGCAAAACCTTACACAGCTTTGTTATTAGTAGGTTAATTTTATAAGAACAGCATTATTTTTTAAAACTTCAGAATTAAGTCTCATATTCAATAGAGAGAAAAGAGGATAGAGATATTTCCACCAAATTTTACCATAACAAATTTTGTGTTCAACATGTCTTAAAGGCGAAAAACACATTTTATACCCTTATTAAGTCTAGTCAATTCTGAAAGGCTTATAATACCCATCCCCCCCCCGAATAAAAGTACTCACTAGCATATGGGCAAGATGGCAAGTTCAGTCCAAAATTATCCCTATTTTGTTTATCTAGGGAAAACTAATCAGTTTTGAATGAATCAGTCAGTACAATCATTCTAATTAATTTTAATCCTTTCATCAGTCAAGACAAAAAGTGATGAGACTTTCCAAAAAGCTAAATGAAACATCAGAGGCAGAGTAGAATAAACCGGTCTTCTGAAATGTCCCTAACTTACATATGACTAATATACAACACACTCAAAAAAATCAAAAGTTCAAGCAAGATTTTCTAACATGATATAGCATTATTTTATAAAAGATTATGTTTCCACCCATTCTATACAAAATTAGACTCAGGCTAAAAAACAATTGACATATGATGGAGAAAATACATATTCACCATGAGGATAACAATATAGAAAGAATTCTAAAATCTTGAACATTTTCATAAAAGTCCAGAGAAAAGCAAAAATGAGAATGTTATTAAGTTCAAAAACTCTACAGTCAAAAGAGATTACTTCAGCATGAAATAATTCATATATTATCACTAGGCAGAGAAACTAAAAAGCAGATTCAAATTAAGGATAAGAGATAATAGTACTTACAGCAGTGAATTAATGAAAACAGAAAGAATAAAGGGTAAAATGTATAAACATAGAAGTTATTAAAAAGTCAAGCAACCTGTGAGGCAAATATGTACAATAGTTCAAGCAAGACAGACCCTGCTAAATACCAGCTCTTTATTGGGTATTAATAGGTCTGCAGGAGAGTTCTAAAAATAGACTCACCACATTAGGAGGGAAGTATAGCATGGCACAAGCTTTCCTCTAGGAGTTTCTAGTTTCAGCTCTTAACGTCTAGGCCTTTTTTTTTCCGTTTTGAGTTGATTTTTGTGTAAGATAAGGGTGCAGTTTCATTCTTCTGAATGCAGAAATCTAGTTTTCCCAGCACCACTTATTGAAGACTATAATTTCCCCAACAGTGTACTCTTGGTGCCCATGTCAAAAATTAGTTGACTACAGCTGGGCACCAGTGGCTCACACCTGTAATCCTAGCTACTTGAGAGCCTGAGATTGAGAGGATCACTGTTCTAGGCCAGTCTGGGCAAACAGTTCATGAGAGCCAATCTCAAAAAATAAAAAATCAGAGCAAAGTGGATTGGAGGTGTGACTTAAATGGTAGTGTGCCTGCTTTGCAAGTGCAAACTCCTGAATTCAAACCCTAGTGTCTCACACACACACACACATTAATGACCACATTTGGATGTATTACTGGACTTTCTATTTTGTTCCATTTGTCTGTCTCTATTTTATGACAGTAACATATCATTTTGATTATTATAGCTTTATAATCATTTTAAGTCAGGATGTATGATGACTTTGACTTTGATTTTCTTTCTCAGAATTGTTTGACTGTTTGGGTTTGTTTATGCTTCCCAAAATTAGGATTGTTTTTCTTTTTCTGTGAAGAATGTTTTTGAGATTTTGATAGGGATCACACTGAATCTATAGATTGCTTTGGGTAACATAGACATTCTAACAATATTAATTCTTCTGCTCCATGAGCATGAACTATCTATGAGTTTTCTTCAATTTCTTTCAACATTCCTTTATCCATCTCCTAGGGACTTGGTACATAGCACAGTGGTAGAATGCTTGTTTACATGGGTGAGGTTCCAGGTTTTATCCACAGCACTCCAAAAAGCAAACAAAAAGCTCCTCAGCCTTTTCCTGACTCCTTATGTTCAAATTTTCTGGATCTTGAACTTGAAGCTATAACTCTTACAAACTGTATCTTACTGGATCTTTTAAAGAAAACATCAGATTTGACTATTTTTTCATCAGTACACAAATCTGTTTACATATAGCATAGTTAATTAAATATTTGGATTCAAATCAATTGTTGTACTGTTTCTTATTTGAATAACCTCTCCTCTTATGTTCCTTTTCTTCTCCTTTCTTGCCTTCTTTTGGATTAAACATTTTATTGGGGCCAGGGGTGTTGCTCAGTGGTAAAGTGCACAAAGCCCTGGGTTTGATTCCCCAGAATATACATACAAGGTACTATTTTATTTCCCCTTGTATTAGCTTGTTATTTACATATTATGTTACTAGTCTTTAAGTGGTTACCCTAGAGATTATAACATACAAAGTAAGAATATAAATTAGTATTTCGCACACTATCTAGACAATGAAAGAACCACATAACACTAAAACCATTTACTTTTGTGGCATCTTTGCACTATTGTTAAGGCTTTTTTTTGTTTTCACTTTTTGGTGACACTGGGGCTTGAATTCAGGGCCTCCCACTTGTTAGGCAGGCATTCTACTACTTGATCCACTCCAGCAGCCCCGTTAAGTATTTTGATTCTACATATAATTTAAGCACCGTAAGATATTCATTTAGCTACATCTATAAACCTACCCAGCTAGTGTACTTAGTTATTAATAAGGAAATGTTACAATTAAAAATAAATAAATGGACGAATATTTTGAAATACTGAAATATAGAAGACTTATATGGCTCAAAAATGTAAAATTCGTATATGAAGAGACTATTAGTATTCTGACGAATTTAAAGTGTGATTTATTTATTTATTTTGAGACTGTTATCATTATGTAGTGCAGGCTGGCCTGGAACTCATGATCCTCCTGCCTCAGCTTCCTGAGTGCTGGGATTACACATGTGTACCACTACACCTAGTTTTGAAATATGATAGTTCTGTAACAAAAAAATATAAACACAAAGTCAACTGATAATACTGTTTATAACCACACTATTAACAAATGAGTAATTTCTTTAATATTATGGACTTTTTTAAATCAACAAAGATTAAAAAATAAAAAAGGCAAACACCACAATGGGCACCAGAATTCACAAAAAAAGAGTCCAGAAGACACAAAGATACAAATAATTTTTAAAAATACTAATCTACATGCAATCTTTTAATCAAATAATCTGGCAAAGCTAAAAATGGCTGATAAACATTAGACCACAAAAAATGGACCTCATACCCTGTATGTCAACTGATCTTTGACAAAGGACTAAAAGAGAAAGGACAGTCTTTCTGTGTATGTGTGTGTGTGGTTACCAGGTTTGAACTCAGGGCCTTACACTTGCTAGGCAGGTGCTCTACCACTTAAGCCATGCCCCCAAGCCCAAGATAGTCTTTTCAACAAATAATACTGGCTCAACAGAATGTTCACATTAAAAAAAAAAATCTAGACACACACCTTACACCTACTTCAACATAAAATGCAAAACTGCCGGGCACTAGTGGTTCACACCTGTAATCCTAGCTACTCAGGAGGCAGAGATCAGGAAGATCAAGGTTCAAGGCGAGCTCAGGCAAATAATTCATGATACTCCATCTCCAAAATAATTACAGCAAAATGGACTGGAGGTGTGGCTCAAGTGGTAGAGCACCTGCTTTGCAAGCATGAAGTCCTGAGTTCAAACCCCAGTATCACCACCACCAACAAAAACTAACTAACTAGAGATAAAATAAAATGATTCACTTAAAACAAGAGGAAGCAAAAAACAGGTAAGGTGACAATTCTAAACCTGGATGGAAGGCACATGGGTTAATGATATAATTTTAACTTCTTCATATAGTTTAAACTTCTACAGAAAAAATATTTTGGCAACAGGACCCCACAGGTACTCACTCCACCAGCATGCCATATAAAAACATAAAATGAAACCAGTAATTTATATTAACAGAAAAAGATCTCATTCATTTATTACATCTGCCCTTTCTCCTGGCTAATCGGTACTGCTATGAAGAGTGATATATAAAATTAAAGTTCAGACAACATCTTCAATGGAGCTTACAACTTGTCATCTCTGCTCCACCTCTTACTAGTTAATTAGCAAAGCATACCCCTTTCAGTTCAAATTGTATTCATGCTGGACAGGTGGCCAAGGTCTAGAATCCAGGTTACTTGGAGGGGAGATAAGAGAATCGAGGCTTAAGGCCAGCACAGGAAAAGTTAGTGAGACCCCCATCTCAAAAACAAACTAGGTGTTGTAGTGCAGCCCTGTATCCAAATCTGCAGGGGACATAGGTAAGAGGATTGAGGCATGACCCCAGCAAAAGCACAAGACCCAATATGAAAAATAAACTAAAGCAAAAAAAAAAAAAGGGCAAAAAATACCCCACAGGTAATCAATGGCTCAAATGTAGAGCACTTGCCTTGCAAACTCAAGGCCCTGAATCCAAATCAAAGTACTGTCAAAAAGAAAAATTGTATACGTTAACCACCATGAGTCAATCATGTAAGAGCGTCACAACAAAAGCAATCAACTTCTGAAACTACTTCCCTAAATCTATGTTAACTTTCAACTTTGCAGAGCTATCATTACTCAGATCACTTCCTGCCTGGATATTTGCTTCCAGTGTCTGCCTGCCTTAAATTCTCCTGGCAGACAAGTATAGCTAATATGTTGCAAACTTAACTTTCATACTTTTATTACATACCACCTTTATTTTATATATATATATATATATATATATATAT